AGGCCAATTACTATAATGAGTTACATATTAGTAACAGGATTTTTACCAGGGGATTTACAGGTACAAATATGCATTACAGCAGGAAAATTGTAGCAGAATATTTCTGCAGTTCACATAAACTCATTCTCCTCCATGTAAAATGTTTACTTTCTCCCCAAATCCATGAAGATCAAGCAAGTCACAGTATGAAGTCATTTGTTGAAAGAAACATTATACAGTATAGCTGTGCTAACCAGTGAACAAGCATGGTGCAAGTCTGACTAGCAATTGTTTAGTTTTATTCTTTGTTATGTTACAGTGGTACCCAAAGGTTCCAGTCAAATTGTACTGCAATAGGAATCTGAATAAATATATTTTTATTGGGCCCTTTGGGTGCTAATATAAATAAAAATAAATCATACAGTTACAGAAGTCACAGTTGCATTCTTTTTCTTCATAGGTTACTCTTAGTGCTTTAAAAATGTATAAGAAGGTACGGTCCCTGCCCATACCAGCTTACAGTTTATTGCATTTTTTATCTGTATTACCATAGCACCTGGAATCCCCAGTCATAGACCAGAACTCCATTGTGCTGGGCACTGTACAAACACAAAACAAAAACCAGTCTCTGCCCCAGGAAGCTTACAAGCTAAGTATAAGACAAGAGACAACAGATGGATACAGACAGATCAGGGAGTATGAGTGAACAATAAGACAGGTTTCAGAGGAACAGCCGTGTTAGTCTGTATTCGCAAAAAGAAAAGGAGTACGTGTGGCACCTTAGAGACTAACCAATTTATTTGAGCATGAGCTTTCGTGAGCTACAGCTCACAGTGAGCTGTAGCTCATGAAAGCTCATGCTCAAATAAATTGGTTAGTCTCTAAGGTGCCACAAGTACTCCTTTTCTTTTTAACAATAAGACAGTATCGGTCAGCATGATAGTCTGTAGTCTGTGCACACCAGCACCTAAATTGTGTTTTTACCTTTTTAAATCTTTAATATTAAACACTTAATTTGCTCATTAGTTATATAATATATGACTGCCAGATGCACATTCCAGGCAGTGTCTTGTTTCAAAAGGCATTACTGAACACTTTATATTACTCTGCTTTATATTTCAGCAGCATTGCACATCAGCATGCAAACAATTGAAGTAAGACTCCCAGGAAACCAGTGGCAGGGCTAGGAATTGAACCGGGATTGCTTGAGTCCCTTAAAAGCCTATAGGAGTCAAGGGCAGCCAGGCATAAATAAAACAATGCTGATTGAATTCAGAGCTTGCAAAAGGCGCTGCCTGGATAGTACTGGAAACAGAAATCCTGTTTTATTCACAACAGATATAGCACAGGACCCTTCACTGTGCCTCAGCCGGGACCCAGAGGAATCACTTTTGTGATTGCAGTCAGTCATTGGTCTCTTCAGTGAGACCTCCAACAAGAGTGGTAGCTATAATTGTGGGTTTGTGATATGGAGGCCGATGTACTTTCAGAATATGTGTGTGCCACACTGAAGTCACTAGTCATGTGTTTAAAGTTCAGTATATGCTGAAGCGCTTTGCTCAGTTAGGGCCCCAGCCTTTCACAACTGGACTGAAACCACTGTACTGTTTCACATATAGTGGACCACTGAACATTGATCACTACAAACACTGGCAAAATTCACACCTGTGACCCATAGGTGAAAGGCCCCCAGTATTGTGGGCTTGGGTCATCCAGGCTTCTCAGCCAGTTTCTGGTCTCTGCTCCTGCTGTTTCATACGGACAGATACCTACAGAGCGCATTTTGAAACTACAAACAAAAGGGTATTAATAATTTATAGAGCCAGATTCTCAGCTGGTGTAAATGGACACAGTTCCATTTAAATCAATATAGATACACCCATGTATGTCCTCTGACTCATAATGTTTTTCTTTGTGTAAATAGAATTTAAAAGTTCAGGTTTGGATGGTTTCTCATTTTATCTTGAGAGCTTTGTCTTCTTCCTCTGCATGCCTTACAACACGTACTGATTTCTTATAATGTCAAATGGATTCTGATGCCACAGCCAGGGTCCAGAAATTGCTTGGTCAAACACAAATTTTAAAGAATGCTTCCATCAATGCAAATGAGGGTGTCTGCATTCACTTCAACATCAGCAGAAATCCTTTAATAGCCAAAAAAAGAGGGAAAAAAGCCTCTTTCCTTTTGAAAATCACTTTTCTCTGAGGAAATGGAAGCTAAACACATCTTCTTTCTTAAAAATTTTACTTGAATTTGTAAAAAGAAAAGGAGTACTTGTGGCACCTTAGAGACTAACCAATTTATTTGAGCATAAGCTCACTTCATCAGATGCTGTAGCTCACGAAAGCTTATGCTCAAATAAATTGGTTAGTCTCTAATGTGCCACAAGTCCTCCTTTTCTTTTTGCGGATGCAGACTAACACGGCTGCTACTCTGAAACTTGGATTTGTGACATTTAAGCGATTTTATCTGTTGGAGATATCTGTGTCTTCTACTCTTTCTTTGAAGTACTGGGAAGTTTGGAGCGCCAGTTATTAAAGAACTTTTTTAGCTACTAAACTGGAGCAAGCAAAGGGTTTGTATCTTTTTTAGTGATCTCTTTTAGTCAGTATTGACTTTCCTTTTTTGTTGTTGTTTCAGTTAAACTTGTATTATCAAAGAGTTTGATACATGGGTCTCTTTTCCTTTTAGTCTTTGTCTTATAATTCTTTATTGGAAGTTACTTATAACTAATGTGCTAGGGGAGTCTCTAATGGGGGGGATTTCATTCTCTCTTTGCTCTTTTGTGTTTCTTCTGCTGTGGGTCCTGGGTATTTTAGTTCTGTTATACACATTTTAAACTAATTAAAAATGTAAAAACAATTCTTTGAAATGCAAGGGAATTAATCTGCAGCTTTTGTCCCCAGGCTACTCACTAGAGCTGTAAAAATACTAAAAACTATCATGACTGCAATCCGTTATTTGGAGTAGGGGAGTACTTTCTCTGCTCCAGCTGCAGCAGCTGCCTTTCCTACCATAGTAGAGTTATTCCTCTTGGTAGAACCACTGATGGCCCCAGAGAATTACTCTTCATGATCTATTAATGATCTACAATGACTGAGCTCATCAGGTTGGAACCTATTGGGGAAGAACAAGAGCAATGAATGATTAAAGTTAAACCCTATAATTTAGAAAGGACAGTCTGGATTTAAATAGAGGCTGGATAAGTTGTATGACCAAAACTGATATTTGCTTGTTAAAATAGGATAATCAGTTCTCATGCCTCGGGATGTCAGATATTTCCCACCAGGGTCAGGACATCAGGAAGATGGTATTATTGGTGTATTATTTGGCCAGGAGGGATGTTCATGTTCCTCTGAAGCATCACACATAGGCCACTATTAGAGGCAGGATATCAGACTGGATGGTATGATAATCCAATCTGGGAAGATAAACCCAGATCTTCAAAAGTATTTAGGCACCTTACTCCCAATGATTTAATCTATACATGGAGGAGGGAGAGCAAACTGATGTAGTAATAGACATAGAAAATATTATATAATGCCATCTTGCACCTTCTCCTAGCATCTTTAATACAAGTATTTTATAGCATTTTACAAACATTAATTAATTAAGCCTAACATGACTCCGATACTACAGAGATAGTGGTGGTTTTAAGACCATATCTAGATATAATTCACCTATGTGAGGTAAGTAATTATTATTGTACCCATTTTACACATGAGTAGACAAAAACACAGACATTTTAAATGCCTTGCTCCTAGTAACATTATGGGAGATAAGGAGGGGAGGCTGGTGGGCCAGACTCATTCATTCATATATTTTTTTGGTTTTGATTCCCAGAGAGACAAATGAACTGAATAAAAAAATGTCTTGCACAGTATAGAAAATGGAGCATTGTCCCTAACAGGATCATCTGTATTAGCAGCGATCTCCTGACAACTGATAGCAGCCATGCTTTGAGAGAGATTCCACAACCCTAGCAAGAAATGTACTCTGCCAAACAAATTTCAATCTGGAGAGTGCTGATAACCTGGGCATATCAACCTAAAATGTACCATAGGAAGCAAATATGCATTGCAGTGGTTGAGTGTCCATAGAGGCAAGGTAGAAGAGAGTCAGATTAAGAGATATTCAAGAGAAGGGATAAAGTAGATGCAATGGACTGAGTTGGCTTTACACAACTGGTAGTGTGGGACTTTTACCAGTGACTTCAGTGGGAGCAGAGTTATGCCAAAGCTGACCATTTTTGAAAACCTCACCTCTAATAGTATGAGTCCTTTATATGTGCCCAATTTCTTTAATGAATACTGTACATTTTATTTCATATGGTACCGTTCATTCTCAAACCATTCCAGTGTCTTTAAAATCAGTCATACATTTTGTGCAGTAGCCAGACATTATGTCAGCAGCAATAGTTTCCACATATCCATGAGCATCAGAAGTTATTGTATGTAGAGAGGACACATTGACCACGACACTGGTTTTATTACCAGTTGTTTTAAAAGATAAAACATGAGAGAGGACCTTTAATTTCCACCAGAAAAACCACCGGGGACCTCATTATAATGTCTCATTAGACGAGTGGCAAATAGCAACCCTTACTTCTCCCACCACCCACAATGCTGAAGTGTTAGTACTGGGCAGGATTTTAAGTCCTATTTTGGGAGATGAGCCCACCGTGGTCTGGCCTAGTGGCAAAAGCAGCTGCCATCTGGATTACAAAGACATCCCAAAATACTTGACAATCTGAATATGGCAGCAATAGGATTTAGAGCTTGCTCACAGTGAAATCTAATTGACAGAGTTTTAACAAGAGCGTTCCAATCGGCATTGGTTTCCCTTCAGGAAAGAAGCAATATAAGAACATTTGGAAAAGATAATCTGTATTTAGGATTGAAAATATAAAACCAATTATAACCAGTTAAATCAAGTGCATTTTGCATAGAAGGCTTAAACCTCATTGTTCCCCTATATGTATTATTCATACATTATTATTGTGATTTGTTTCCTCTTTCAGGGCCTAATCTTCCCAAGGCTCAGGTTAAAACAGCATCACTTGGATTAGCTGGAAAAGCACGATCCCCTCTGCTTCCAGTCTCGGTGCCAACAGCCCCAGAAGTGTCAGAAGAGGGCCACAAACAGACAGAGGATCCAGCTAACGTAAGAACAATCTTAAAAAAACAAGAGTCTCATCGCAAATCATATTAACTTTAAGTGAAGGGTCATAGTTGTAAATCATATTCTGTGCAATCATTTTAGTTGAACAGCTTCATCTCTGCCTACTTGATGTATTAGGTTATACCAGTGAGTAGCAGTTAAGGAACAACAGGTCTGATCCAAAGCCTGCTAGCGTGAGTAAGATTCTTTCTGTTGACTTCAGTGGCCTTCGGATCTGGGCCTCTGTCTGATAGAGATGGACAGATAACCTGTATTCTGTGCACATATAATTAATATTGTTACTTACATGATCTCTTTTGTATCGACTGAGAGATCAAAACAATTCTAGTTGTCAAGTATGGGATCCAGAAGGAGAAAGGAACTGATGGAAGAGAGAATGAATGAGAAAACTGATGTCAGAAAAAATAAGTTAAGGAATAAAAGATTATAAAGTAATACCAGACAGTGGAGAGAGAAAATAATGTGAAAGGGATAGGTAAGATGAAAAGAAAGGATCAGAGGGAAAAGATGTCTGAAAAAATAATCAGAAAATTTAAAACGATACCAATCTTAGATGCAGTACTTCACAAAAGGTGGGGAAAGAGCAAAAGAAACTAAATAGGAAGAAAAAAATAAGGGAGACAGACTGTTATGTCAAGTACAATCTATTTTCATTTCCTTGCATGTGAGAGTGGCTTACTAGGCATCATGAGACAGGTTCATCTGGCATCTTGTCACCTAATCCTCTTATGTTTGAAACCTTGGGGAAGGGAAAAAGCAAGAAATCTGCTTTTGACATGCACAGAGAGATTTTTGGTCTGCTGCCCATAGAAATGTAGAACAGTTAAATTATGTTCCCTCTTATTGTTAGTAGTATCATAAGCAATGTGCTATTGTGTTGTTCTGAGAGAATTCGTCTCATGTTACGTTAGAGTAATGGCCGTCAAAGTGTGGAGCCATCTCCAAAAAACTGGTTTTTATTACCTGACCCTTTCCTAACCCAGTAGCTTTTTTTCTAGTGATGCTTATGATGCCAGTGGCTCTTTGTAACGTTGATAATAATGCTTAGCACTGACTCTTGTAAATGCAGATTTACTTGCACGATTTATGCCCTGGTTCTTTTATCCACAGATCTCAAAGCTCTTTCCAAAGCAGATAAGATAAATATCCTCGTCTAACTAAAGAAGTTTCTTTTCAAACTTCTTTACTCCCCTTGCTGTGTTGGGAATTTTTTTTCCTGATTCTGGCAATCACCTGGACCTTCGTTCAACAAGTGTAACATGATTCCATGATTTAGAGTCTAACCCTACAACAGCAATGGGACTGAAACCACTAGTGCTTGGAATGAAGGGTAGTGCTGAGCCAGCGCACCAGTGGGTAAAATCCAGTACTGAACAATGTGGTCACAGAGCAGTCCTGTGGATTACTGCAGCCTTACTATTTCTCTGAACTTCTTCCAAGCCCTGCTGGCTCTCCCGCAGAGAAGAGATAAGGGACACGGAGTCTTGTATTGGGGGAAGAGAAATGAAAATGACTTACTTGGTAAAATTACTGACATAAAGAGTAATTTAGCACAGAACATTTGATTACATGAAATGCTATTTCGGCTCTAAACATCTTATAACAGCAGCGCAATTTATTTCCCAAGAGGGACACTTTTCAAACTCAGCAAGTGTGTGAGCACTTGGTGGAAATAATGACAGGAGTTAATAGGCTCTTCAGGTAGTCAGAGTTTTGGGGGTGGAGGGGTGAATTGTGGGAGTTTTTTAAGTTTATTTCTGCAGAGGTACGATTATGTTATTGGATTCTTAACTTTGTCCAGTCCTTTAGGCTGCAGATTTCCCACAGTGCTTTCAAATCATTTACTTTGAAAAGTCCCACATAAATAACTAGTGTTTGAGTTCTCGCTCAGTGAATCAAAAGCGGAGAATCATTCATTTTACTCTTGTCTCTATAACTTTTGAGGTCAGTGGTTCCCAATGATAGGTACATTTGCCGGTCATTTAAGGTTTCATGACAGGTACTCAGTCGGCTGTCCAATGTACTTCCCCTTCCACTGTTGTCACAGACCCTAATCCTGCAGGGTACTGAATACCTCCTGCAAGGCGCTGGGTGCCCTCAAATCCCGTTAACAGCAATGGTAAGAGTTAAGACTCACTGGCTACAATGGGAGTTGGGAGTGCTCAGCTCCTGGCAGAATCAGGCCCTTCATTATGAACTCCAGGAGCAGCCTCTGTAGTACATCCCAGTGCACCATGGCTGCATTCCCAGTCCTTCGTTCAGTCTCATGCCAGTCTGGAATAATCCAAGATTTGGAGTACTGCAAGCAACACCTCTGCTGGACGGCATACACTCTAACTCTAGGACTCATCACAGAGTTTGGTCCTTGAGTTCACCAACTAGATACCTAGGAGAGGAGGTTGCTGACTGCAGTGGAAGGGGAGCAAGGAGGTGACGGGGTCTCCGTTGGGCAAAGTGATGAATCTGAGAACAACTGTTTTAATGCATTGTTTCAAGTGGCTCTGCCCCTCCTTGTCTTTTCTGTGTCCTTTAAAACAGATTTTGGTTATTGCTCACATTGACTGTTGATTTGGGTTTTTTGCAGGTATATGAACAGGATGATCTGAGTGAACAAATGGCCAGTTTGGAGGGGTTAATGAAGCAACTTAACGCTATTACAGGCTCAGCCTTCTAACAGCTGTTGATGAATAGATAAATTGTATTATCCAGGAACATTGCAGCATACAAGTACTTCATATATGCCACACACATACACAACCCCATAAAACCACCTTTTCTGCAGTACCATTCATTCAACGTAAGGAAGAGTCTTGATGAGTCCTAAAAAATAAATAACAAAAAATATGCTACATTACCATAGATCAAGCATCTAAAGCAATTAAAGTGCAGCCCTTGCAAATAAGTGAAACAACTACAGCAGAGACCAAGGTGATGCCACTTGATTGCTCATTTTGATCTGTTAGCCTTTGTAATACTTGAGGTGTCATGACTATCTCACATTTTACTTAATAGAGGTGTATAGTTCTTGGTGAAAATCTAGTTTTACGTCAGTCAAATGTATTTTTAAACATATACCATGCCATAATTTGTCAGGGTGGAAGTTCACTCTTTGGTTTTTTTTTGTTTTTTATATACTTTTTTTACATGAAAGCACCTGTAACAAATAATCACGACATAGCACCAAAGGATCGGAAGTGTTACCAACAGCACAAAACCAGACAAATAACTCCCATTTCTTTTGTAATTTCAATCACTCATCTTGCACAAGCGGTATGCATTAGCGAGTTGCTGTAAAATCCACCCATTTTTGCAAGTATTTGGAAATCCTCCCATAGGTAACATTTTATATCTGGCTACAGAGAACGGGAACATAAAAAAACCTGCATTGGTGGCACGCTGCCAGCTGCCGTATGCTTACAAAAAGAAGATATGATATGCAATCTTCTCTGACACACACTAATGATGTGCTTAAACTTGGAATAGAACACTTCTAAATATGGGTGGCCTTTGTGCCAGACTGCACTGTGATGACATTTGAAAGCTCCTCCAGGGCCAACTTTCACAGCAGCAAAGAGGAAAACGGGGTGAAGTTCCTCCCATCCTTTCTCTACTGCTCCACCTCTTGTTTGAGACTGCTCAGTTCCATTAACTCTGTGATTCAGTCACCAATGGCTTCTCCTTAACTCAGTGAAGGCTGCAGAAATTGGAAAGCAACCCTCGGTCAGGCACAGTGAAAGATAAGACTTATTGGTTAACAGTGATGGACACATCACAGTTTTTACAGAGAAGCAACAAATCCAAGAAAATGAATTCAGAAACTGTGTTGCATAATTGGGAAACAAATTACAGGTGCTTGATTGCAGTAAAATATTCCTTGTTCAGTCATAGTTAAAAAACAACCAACCAATCACAATTTAGCATCAGGACACTGCTGTGAACTTAGAGGAACCCTTTCAGTGTTTTCCTCCCTCTTCTAGTAGTCTAGCTTCATATTACAGCGTTTATTGATAACTATAACTGTTTGAATTGACTAAATTTTGTGAGCATACTTTTTATTGCTGAATTTTCAGCTGCATTCAGAGTTAATCCCTGTTTATGCAGCTGAATCACCAAAAGGGAACTAATTTGCATATTTATCAGTTAGGAGGCTGCAAAACTCAATAAGAGAGTTTCAGATGAATTACTCCATTCAGTTCTGCCTTTGATTTCAAGCTTGAGTAGGTCATAATTTTAAAAGAGCATGGAAGGGCCGGGATCTTTACAACCTAATAGTTCCTTTTATTAGGTGGGTAATTATATGTGAATCCCTGAATAAAATATTTGGTGTAAAATGGCACTGTAACAGAAGTAATAATTCAGATTATTTTCTACAGTCATGTATTGGAGAGGAAATCAGATGTGAAGGATGGAATTCAAATGCTTCATTAGGAACTCTAGTGTGTTTGTGAAAATGTTCCTTACCAAAATATATTTTTATTCAATTGACTAAGATTTTAGTCAGATATTTCCTAAGAGTTAAGAAGGTGAGAGGTTGAGTTTTTATGTTCTGTTAGATTTGTAACTAAGAACTTCCACTGAAAACAAAGCAAGCAAATCTGTCATGATGACAACCAAATTCATAGCCTTGGTATTGGATCCCATGATGTCCAGCCTACTACCTTGTTTCTGCAAGGCAGGTTTCAATACAGCTTCTGAAAAAGAGCCTCTTCCCTTCTAGCACAGATTGTCAATTATTTTGAAATGGGACCATACGGCCAAATTCTGCACTCCCTTATTCTGGAATAAGTCTAAGTTACTCTGGAAAACAGTATCTGACTCACAGGACTTTAACAAGGGGCTTTGAGCCATAGAACATTAACCCAAAACTGAATATATCCATGGTACAAAATTACCTAAAATATGTGACGGGTGAACCCCAAAAGTTTTGACAGCTGGATTTTGTTTGGATAAGCATCCTGATATTCAGATGCTTATTTGAACATTGGTTATGGTGTTGGCTGTCCTGTGTCCTTTCTTGTGAATTGTAAAGCATTGCCATCTCTAAACTCAGTGAGAAACTGGAAATTGAAAAAGAAATGCAAAATTTCAGAACCTGAAGAAGATTCAGAATAGGTTTGGTTTTAGATATCTGTGAGTCTTCAGGAAGAGGAGATTCTTAAATTTTACATAGTAATTCAGTCATCCCTAGTCTGTGGGCATTTGCAGTCATACCTGCAAATATAAAGTAGCTATTTATTTAATAATCCTACTCAGAATCTCTGGACTTCCTCTGATAAAGTTTCTGAAGGGCATTATTGCCCAGAGATCCTCATTTTTCCTGTAGACCCAAGTTTATTTTCATTTAGCTTGATATAAGTCACAGGGCTACAGCTTCTTTTTTAGCTATCAAGTGAAATCTTAAAGGAGACTTATGTGCAAAACCTAAACTGTATAAACTGGATTGGCAAGAGGAACAAATTGAGGTAATCTACCAATGTTCATAGCTTAGTACTTGGCTAGAGTATTTGGAAAATGGAGAAATTAAAAATTAATCCAAAAACTCAGTTGGTTACTTTTTTATGTGAAATATGTATTCAATAGGCACACTTCTACTTTTCCTGGCAAATTTTAAACTCAACTTGCAGCAGAAGCATCTTACTAACTAGAATGAAAGGTTTTAGCATTTCTTGGTATTAGCTAATAGAATGAGCTGTTCTTTCCCATAGTTTATTTATAGGATAGAGAACACAGGAATTTATTTTAGCTCAGACTTTGTCCCCAGTCCTGCAAAGTTGTATTGACTTAGATGAGACAACTCACTTCCGTAAAGTTAAACAGACGGGTTTGAAGGACTGACGCCCACATTAGGACTTCAAAAGATATTGACCTTCTACATAAACATCCAAACATGGGAGACTCACATGAGTGTAACGGCACAGAACCTTTAAAGGCATATTTTGATAGTGCTACTTTTGCAGTGAATTCAGCTGTAAAATTTATTTCAGTTTTGACTGATTCCTAAGCTTTCAGAAAATTTAAAATGAAAAATTATTGACACTGAATCATTCTCTACCACAAACACCCTCGTAAATGTAAAGAAAGATAAATCAACTTGTAACGAATTTGTAAAGCTGCCATGGGGAAGTAGCTAGCTATTCACACCTAGGAATGGTTTCCTTGGCTGCCATTACAGGTAGCAGATAGACTTTGCAGTCAACACTTCTGCAGCTGTATATCTTGTATCATATTCATTTTTCTGAGAAAGACTTCACAGATGGAATGCTGCCAAGAACTTCATTGTTTAAGAATCCTCTAGCTTGAGAACTTGGCTGTCAAAGTTAGTTTGGTGATGGTTGGCTTTTTTTTTTTTTTTTTTTTTTGGAAGGCTTAGTTCAGGAAACCATCCAAACATTTAGTTACCTATCTAAGGCCATTTATCCTTTTGGTTGGTAAACTAGCAGAAAAATTGGTGTACTCCCATATGATCTCCATTACTTCATGGTTTGGGCTGGATAATACTGCAAAAGCTGCCCAAACCATGGTGTATGGGAATTTCTGCTTCCTGACCAGAAGAAGCCATGAATTGCAAAGTATTGCAAACTGAAATCATTGTGGCTCCATATGAGTACAGCGGCCACCCAGGTGATTGAGATTGCAGTCTCAAAGGCCTAATTTACCTTTTTGGAGTTTCAAAACAATGTTACCAATAGTTCAGGAGTTATTACTCATTTTCTCCAAACCAGTTAGCCCACCCCTAGTTGTGAACACAATTCCCAGGTTAGTCTCACAACTTTGTATTGTTTAACAAATGAAATCTGAAAACCACCCCACTAATATACAAATATACCACAAACATAAATAGCACCACTCTGATTCCACTGAAGGAAAAACTCCATTAACTTAAATGGAAGAAGTATGATGGCCAAGTTATTTGTACATTCAAAGTTTGCCCTAAGAATTTTTTTAACATGAAGAGCAAAATCATAATTTACTAATCCCACATTCTTATTGTAAGAATCGTTTGGTGAACTGTTGTGTTGATAAAAGGCCTTGTCCTGCTCAGCACTGAAGTGAATGGGAGCTTTGTCATCGAGTTTGGTGGGAGCTGGTGAGTTTTATATTGCGTTATAAAAATGTCCTCTCTTAAATGCAATATTATTCTCAAGTCTGATTTTCCACAGTGTTACTCCAGTTATACATTAATGCAGACTCACTGCAATCAACAGAATTGAATCAACAAAAACTAGAGTAACACACTTGAGAACCAAGGCATCAGTTGTGATACTTTAGAAAATCATGTCTCTTACTGTATCAAGACTCAACCTCATAATGAAATGATTATTTCCATTAGAACATTCTGATCCTGTTTCCAGTAGCCCCTTATCCCTTGTTATTTGACAGCCAAATATCTTCACTGAATCCTTTAATAGGCATGCCAAATCTGTATTTTATTAAAAATGGCTAGGCCCCAATCTTGCAAACTTAGGGTTGTCAATTTTGGTTGGATGTATTCCTGGAGGTTTCATCACATGACATAATCTTTAATTAAAGATAAATCTTCGATTCCTGGAGACTCCAGGACAATCCTGGAGGATTGGCAACTCCATGCAAACACTTGTGCATATGTGTAACTTACTGCTGAGCCTACTCACGGTAATAAAGTTAAGCACATGCATATGTGTTTTCAGAGTCAGGGTGTTAAACATTATTGAATCTATATATAAGCATGTAAAAATATGGAAAATAAAAATATTTCAGGTCACAAACATACACATTGTACAGTGTAAATAAGTAACATAAAGGGTGGATAAGATGAAAAGCATTCAATATTCTGTCAGAAATGGAAGCACTGGAAACTGGATAAAGGAAGCTGATTATTAGTAAAGCCACAAACTACTGAAAGTGTTCAGAGATTATTTTTCTTATCTGTTTGACTTGTCTCTCTGTTGGCCAGCAAGTGTCCTGTCTGATTTCAAGTTGAATTTGCTCAGTCTTTCTTTTTAGATCTCAGCAGACAGCATTTTAAGCATCTTCATTCTGACCTTTTTTGATTGGAGAGAAACAATAACAATACAGTACATCTGTCATAAAGCGGCACAGGCCAGAGTCTCTCACTGTATGCTGTACACGTATTTTGAAGTGCAAGAAAGCAATGTTGGTAGAAGAAGGGAAAACTGCTGTTTTTATTATTGTAAAATATACCTGGCAATTCCTACATTTTTGAATTGTCACCATGTGTAGGATGGGAGGGTTGGGGGGAAGGGTGTACTTTTTATAAGTAATATTTAATTTATTATTTAGAGTGTTTTCTTTTGGATAATTTATGATAAAAGGGAGATCTGGTTGGAAACCTAGAGTTGGCTGTTAAAGCTGCTGTGTCCCATGTCTCAGTGTGTTGTGTTTTGAAACTATATTATTCAGACCTAACTATAAGAATACTCAAGAGTAACTGGCAAAGATATCTTGCTAAATATTCACTGGTATCTGCCACTGAGGTCACACAAAAGATGGTGTCTGTGAAACACTGACATAAACTGTTAATTAATCGTTACAACATTAAGGAAAACAGTGCTCTCTCTTCCTTTAAAGGGCTTTGCAAGGTAATTCAAACAAATTGTTAGCCTACTAGTGATACCTTAATCTGGTCGAAATGGGTTACACTACAGCTTTAACTAGCCTTAGTTTAAAAAAAAATCTTGTTGTTACAAAAGGCCTAAAAATGGCATTTTGAGCCTATAAACAGTTTCTTTAAATTGTCAAATTCTAGCATTGTTAACCAAATTAGACTAGTGACTGCAATATTTAAGTGTAAATCTCGTTCTATGCGAAAGGAAACTTGCTTACGATGTAAAAATAAATGACTGTTTCTACACACACTCTTGTATACTGCTACATGAAGAAAAAGGGGGTTTTGTAATGCACTGTAGAACAGTCTCATATTCATTTTTATAGAAATGTTATTCCAATGGTGCATTTTTTTGTTTAATAAATAAAGTTTTGATACAAACGTCCTCCTGTGTGGTATGGTGTATAAAGTTCAGGCATTTTTTATTTGCACTGAGTGACCCAAAGTGAAAACAAGAACATTGTCTAGCTTTGTGAGGATTTTTGTTTGTCACAACACAGAAAGGGTAAAAAGTCTGTAAGCTTTATCCAGCTGAATTCACAGAGAGCAACAAAAATTAATTAGGAGGCTAGAGACTGATTTATGAAGAAAGATTAAAGAGTTTGAGTGAGGATGACAGTACAACCCCTAGATACACTGGCAAGCACTTACTCACCCAAGAAGTCCTTTGAGCTCCTCCAATAAGCAATTGTTCACCAGTATAAGTAAAGTTTGCACGATCTAAATCAGACTAGATAGTTTAGCTTGGTGAGGACAAAGGGTGGGTGGGAAAGAATCATAGAATCATAGAATCATAGAATATCAGGGTTGGAAGGGACCCCAGAAGGTCATCTAGTCCAACCCCCTGCTCGAAGCAGGACCAATTCCCAGTTAAATCATCCCAGCCAGGGCTTTGTCAAGCCTGACCTTAAAAACCTCTAAGGAAGGAGATTCTACCACCTCCCTAGGTAACGCATTCCAGTGTTTCACCACCCTCCTAGTGAAGAAGTTTTTCCTAATATCCAATCTAAACCTCCCCCACTGCAACTTGAGACCATTACTCCTCGTTCTGTCATCTGCTACCATTGAGAACAGTCTAGAGCCATCCTCTTTGGACCCCCTTTCAGGTAGTTGAAAGCAGCTATCAAATCCCCCCTCATTCTTCTCTTATGCAGGCTAAACAATCCCAGCTCCCTCAGCCTCTCCTCATGTGTTCCAGACCCCTAATCATTTTTGTTGCCCTTCGCTGGACTCTCTCCAATTTATCCACATCCTTCTTGTAGTGTGGGGCCCAAAACTGGACACAGTACTCCAGATGAGGCCTCACCAATGTCGAATAGAGGGGAACGATCACGTCCCTCGATCTGCTCGCTATGCCCCTACTTATACATCCCAAAATGCCATTGGCCTTCTTGGCAACAAGGGCACACTGCTGATAAATAACAGGCAAGAACTCTTTGAAAATTATGAACAGTAAGGCCCTGATCATAGAAAACACATGGGTACATTCTTTAAACACACGGAGAATCCTACTGACCTCAACCCAACTACTCATGCTTAAAATTAAGCTTGTGCATAAGGGTTTGCAGGATTGAGACCTAAAGAAAGAGAGGAACTTTTTAGGTAGAACTTGGGAAAATGGGATGGCATAGAAATAAGAATAAATATAACTAGGGGAAATAGGGGAAACTAGGTATAACTAGGAATAATAGCGCATAATTAAGAAAAGGGAAGATTTATGCTGAATATAAGGGAACACTTCTTGACAGTGAGCTAATTCAATTGAGTGGGGTGAGAATCCGCCCTGGGAAGTAGTTGAAATCCGGTTGCTTGGAACAGTTAGGGCCAAGTCTTACTTAGATTAGTAATCTCAATTAAGTGTTTGCATGGTTGGGGGGCCTTAGAATGGACAACGCACTATTAAAAAACCATAGTGAATATTCCTGTATTGGCAGAGAAAATGATCTAGGGGACTGATTTTCAAGGTGCTGAGCACCCAAAGCGGAAATCAGTGGAAGCTGTGCTTTCAGTACCTCTGAATCAGGCCCTAACCGGTATCTCCCATCAATAATATTTGTCTCCCTAATATTGTGAAAGGGCCTATGACATGAGAAGAGTCATCATCCCCTGAGTACAAGGCTACTGTTACAGCCTGATTCGTGCTAGTTGGCTACACCAATGGGTTCACAAATTTAAAAGAACATGAGAATTTATGACAGGTTTCAGAGTAACAGCTGTGTTAGTCTGTATTCGCAAAAAGAAAAGGAGTACTTGTGGCACCTTAGAGACTAACCAATTTATTTGAGCATGAGCTTTCGTGAGCTACAGCTCACTTCATCGGATGCATTCAGTGGAAAATACAATGGGGAGATTTATATACATAGAGAACATGAAACAATGGGTGTTACCATACACACTGTAACGAGAGTGATCACTTAAGGTGAGCTATTACCAGCAGGAGAGTGGGGGGTGCAGAACCTTTTGTAGTGATAATCAAGGTGGGCCATTTTCCAGCAGTTGACAAAAACGTCTGAGGAACAGTGGGGGGGGGGGAGAATAAACATGGGGAAATAGTTTTACATTGCATAATGACCCATCCACTCCCAGTCTCTATTCAAGCCTAAGTTAATTGTATCCAGTTTGCAAATTAATTCCAATTCAGCAGTCTCTCACTGGAGTCTGTTTTTGAAGTTTTTTTGTTGAAGAATTGCAACTTTTAGGTCTGTAAGCGAGTGACCAAAGAGATTGAAGTGTTCTCCAACTGGTTTTTGAATGTTATAATTCTTGACGTCTGATTTGTGTCCATTTATTCTTTTACGTAGAGACTGTCCAGTTTGACCAATGTACATGGCAGAGGGGCATTGCTGCCACATGATGGCATATATCACATTGGTAGATGTGCAGGTGAACGAGCCTCTGATAGTGTGGCTGATGTGATTAGGCCCTATGATGGTGTCCCCTGAATAGATATGTGGACACAGTTGGCAACGGGCTTTGTTGCAAGGATAGGTTCCTGGGTTAGTGGTTCTGTTGTGTGGGGTGTGGTTGCTGGTGAGTATTTGCTTCAGGTTGGGGGGCTGTCTGTAAGCAAGGACTGGCCTGTCTCCCAAGATCTGAGAGAGTCCTTCAGGATAGGTTGTAGATCCTTGCTGATGCGTTGGAGAGGTTTTAATTGGGGGCTGAAGGTGATGTGGATACAATTAACTTAGGTTTGAATAAAGACTGGGAGTGGATGGATCATTACACAAAGTAAAACTATTTCCCCATGTTTATTCCCACCCCCCACCCCCCACTGTTCCTCAAACGTTTTTGTCAACTGCTGGAAAATGGCCCACCTTGATTATCACTACAAAAGGTTCTGCACCCCCCACTCTCCTGCTGGTAATAGCTCACCTTAAGTGATCACTCTCGTTACAGTGTGTATGGTAACACCCATTGTTTCATGTTCTCTATGTATATAAATCTCCCCACTGTATTTTTCCACTGAATGCATCCGATGAAGTGAGCTGTAGCTCACGAAAGCTTATGCTCAAATAAATTGGTTAGTCTCTAAGGTGCCACAAGTACTACTTCTCTTTATGAGAATTAATAAGTGGATCTGCCTCATTCCTATTACTAGTCATGATGAGCTGGTTTTAAATTTAAGCATGGGCAGTAACTGATGTCAAAAAGGCATCCAGATTGATATTATATAAACATGTTTTAGGAAACTGAAATTACATGAAATATCTCAAAACACCCTACCATTTAGCTCTGAACACATCAGAACGTGGTCTTCTGCACAGATTCCCCAACCCTTAGAGTTAGGAGCTTAGCCCTTTCCCTCTAATAAATTCCTAGGTAGCATTTAGTTCTCAACTTTGCCTTTACTAGATACTTTCCCGGCATGTTCTGATCCTTTAAGCAACAACAGAAGATATAGCCTGTAAGGAGGTGTCTTTGCTGTAGGCTCTCTCCTTTCCATCTGGTAAGTATCATAGAAATGCAGGTCAAGGAGGGACCTCGAGGAGTCATCCAGTCCAGCCCCCTGTGTTGTGGAAGGACCAAGTAAACCTAGACCACCCCGACAGGTGTTTGACCAACTTTTTTTTTTTAAACACTTCCAATGATGGGGACTCCATGCCCTCCCTTGGAAGCCTATTCCAGAGCTTAAAGCCCTTATAGTTATGTTACATGGGAGGAAAATCTTTCTGACCCATTACTTGTTGTCCTGCCTTCAGTGGACACGGAGAACAGTTGTTACCATCCTCTTTATAACAGATTGGGAGACTGCTATCAGGGTCCCCAGTCTTCTCAAGACGAACCATGCCCAGTTTTTTTCTACCTTTCCTCATAGGTCAGGTTTTCTAAACCTTTTATCATTTTTTGTTGCTCTCCTCTGGACTCTTTCCAATTTGTCCACAATCTTTCTAAATGGTGGTGCCCAAAATTGGCCACACTACTTCAGCTGGGGTCTCAACTGTGCCACGTACAGCTGGACAATTACCTTCTGTGTCTTATATACAACATGCCAGAATCATAGCCCAGATCCTTTTCAGCAGTGCTACCACCTAAACAGTTAGTTCCCATTTTGTAGCTGTGCATTTGATTTTTTCCTTCCTAAGTGTACTACTTTGCACTTGTCTTTACTGAATTTCAGCTTGTTGAATTCAAAGCAATTATCCAATTTGTCAAGGGCATTTTGAATTTTAAACCTGTCCTCTTGCAAACCACTCCCAGCTTCGTGTCATCTGCAAATTTTATAAGCATACTCGCTACTCCATTATCAAAGTCATTAATGAAAATACTGAATAATACTAAACCCAGGCCTAACCCCCCTACAGGGTCCCACTAGCTATGCCCACTGGACAGGGGACTCCAAGTGTGGCAGCAAACCATTGATAACTACTCTTTGAGTGCAGTCTTTCAACCAGTTGTGCACCCACCTTATAGTAATTTCAGCTAGACCACATTTCCCTGGTATATATAAGCTAAATTATTATTTAACTGGCGTCGCAGAGACTTGGTGGGCTAAGTCTCATGACTGGAATATTGGTATAGCGAGGCATGGGCAGCGCGTGACTCCTCCATTTGGGGAGGCTGCGCGTGCCTGGTTTGTGGCCCCACCCTGAGGCCTGCCTCTGCTTAGCCTCCTCCCCCTAAAGCCTTGCCCACTCGTCACACCCAGCGCCACTCAGTCCCCCTTCCCGAGACCCCCCCTTGCTGCCACTCACACCTCTTCGCTGCCCTCTCCCAGGGCCTGCCCCCTGCCTACCTGATGGCTGGCCACTCACTGCTTTTGCACGCTTCTTCACCTCCTCGCGTGAGGCCCCCATGCCAGCAGAGCAGAGGTGGGAAGAGGAGGAGCGGGGCAGAGCATGGCTGGGGCGCTTTTCAGCAGCAGCGTGCTCCAAAGGTGGTGGGCCA